CACACACACACACACAGAGAGAGAGAGAGAGAGAGAGAGAGAGAGAGAGAGAGAGAGAGAGAGAGAGAGAAAGATGGCACGCAGACAACGGGCAAAATGGGCACATGTGACTCACTCAATCAGGCACTGAACATGAGGAGCGTTGGGTACGTCCACGTTCAGACACATCTGTTTGCACTTGCAAATGCAATGCAGGTGTGTCGTTTCAAACCTGCGGCCAAGGCCGTGCCCTTTCCGATTCAGACTTTTCCACGTTTCCACCCTGCCGCTGCTTTGCCACCGTTTCGACCAAAACCCAGCGCGCGGTCCCATGGGCAGCTAACGGTCCCGCATTTTTCAAAGAAACTGCCAACCCCCCCCAAAGTTCCACCCAGCCGCTGCTTTGCCACCGTTTGGACCAAAACCCAGTGCACAGCCCCGCAGGCAGCTATCGGTCCCGCATTTTTCAAAGAAACTGCCACCACCCCCCAAAGTGTCTGTCTGCACCTGCCTGCATTTTTCGAACCTTCCAACGACCAAACGAGCCTGAATCAACGACCGGTATAACGAAGGACGACGAAAATGTCTCGGCGGGGAAATGTCTCAGGGGGGGGAAACGCACCCCTGGCGGGCTGCGAACAGAATGGGACTTGGGACTAGGATCTGGGACTGGGAGTCAGAACTGCGACCTGGGCCTGGGAGTCAGGACTGAACCAAGGGTACTGAGATTCGTGAATCCTTTCGCAACAACTTACAAGACTGTTGTCAGGAATCGCGATCGCCATTTCGGGTCATTCCCCCTGCATCAGCTGCTTTATTCTATTTGCCAGCCTGGCAGTGGAACTTCTCTCCAATTGTACGCATACACTCCCAAAGACTCTCAATGCGTTTACTGAGAATGCAGTGTCTCTGTGCAGCCTTCTGAAACCCCTCTCCAGTTGTTATCGCCACCAACAACACCAGTATCAGCAAGTCCCACTTTTGGCCAAACACCTTACTGCCCACGAAGAGGAAGAACCCCTCTCCCTCTGCTTGCACAAATGTCCATGCATTTTTTGCTGCAACGAGCAAGGCCTCATCCAGTGGAAAGGCGGCAAGTGGCGCATCCCATTGGGATTGTCAACGAAGCTCTTCCGTCCGGTGCAAGGTAAGGATAAAAAAAAAGAGCTGCACAATGGGCGGGCTACAAACTGCAACCCCTCCACCACCCTTATTGGGGGGTTGCAGTTTTGTAGTTTAAACTTTATAGTCCTCCCTCACTCAGAGTTTGGACCCCCAGCATTGTACCCCCTCTGACAACAATGCACCTGAGGACAGGACCCTCCATAGTTAGGCCGACCATACATGAACCGTGTGCCGACACGGCTCCTCCCAAATTTTGAGTCAAATTGCACATGAGGACTCCCACAGGACAGGAAAAGACCAGCACAAAGGGCCTTGCCCCACCACTCACCAAACAGATTTTGCCACGGTGAGCGCTCACCACCATGAATTCTTGCCTCGCTCCACCGAACTCACCAAACTCACACTCTCACCACAAGGCCGTGCCCCTTCGGTTAGTTGGGAGGGTGTGCAGGCAGATGCAGACTCGCCAGTTTGGTAAGCCCTCGAGAGGAGGCACCACAACCCCACTGTTGCCAGCGGGGATAACCTTGGTCACCATGGTGAGCACTCTCCGCAGCCCATTCGCTGCAAAGAAACCCGGCCATCTGACAGGGCGGCCTTGGTGAGGTGGTAGACTGGCACACACTCACCAAACTTGGTGTTTGGTGAGTGGTGGAAGGAGGAGGCCCGTATTCTCCTGCTGGCAGCTTGGACAGCAGAGACCATTAAGCGCGCAGCATTTTCCAGGTTTTGCACACTTGCCTCCTGAAGGGTCACTTAGGCTACTGATGTTCTGGCCCGCTTAGCGGGCCCTTGATCGGGGGGCGCAGACACTGCACCCTCTCCCCCTTTGTTCCGCTGTTTGTTAGCGCCCCCCGCATCCTTACCACCCCCGGACATGGCAGGGGCACCAGAACCACTAGCAGCACTTGGTCCTTGCTGCTTTTCAGTTGTTTGGTCCTGTGACCCCTCAACAGGGGCCTGCGGAGGCGGCCGTACAAGAAATGCGGGCAAGGGGGGAGGAGGAGGTGCCTGTGGAAGCTTTTGAAACACAGAAGCAATGATTTGGTCATTCCTCAGCACTTCTCTGATATCCAGAAGTCTCTTAGCAGAGGAATCTTTGGAATCATCCGCCTTCTTTTCATCACCCTCGCCTTTCGAGTCCCCTTCCTTAGCCTCCAGATCTGACAAGGTACGATCCAGTTTCGTGGCAACCTCAGTGAAGGCACCTCGAATGTGGTGCAAAGCCCTCGCCAAACGAGAACCGATCACAGCATGAAGGCTGGGCGCTTGGTAGATCGAACCATCAAGAACATAGTAGGCTGCAATCGGTGTCACAACCTCGGGGTTGCGACCTCGCACTTGCTTCCGAATTATGAACAGGTGAGGCTCGATAGCATCACGTACAACATACTCGAACCCCGTAGTCATCGTCGAGAGCAGCGCTGGATCTTTCCCTGAATTTCGCAGCAGCTGGTTGTTGCAGTTGCCGTCATAGAAGGGTGAGAGGGCGAAGTAGTCCAGCACTGAGGCGCGGATCAACGGGAACGTTGATAACCAGATCTGATCCCGGAAACAGACACCGGTCTGATCTGTTGGGACAGGATCGCCAGGAGCACCCGGTCCCAGGCCCATTGGCGGAGGTGGAGCACCCATCATCTTCACCAATCACACTGGCACTTGACACAACTGCAGCAAAACGATCAGCACCAGACATAACACCAGGTTGGGCAGAACTTCATCTAGATTAGCATGCCATTATCCGCTGAAAATATCTGACATCGTGAAATACGTCAAGATGGGTGTAAACGACTAAGTGTGTGTGTGTGTGTGTGCATGTGTGTGTGTGTGTGTGTGTGTGTGTGTG